CAGGGAGGCGCCGTGAAAGGGTGGGCTGAGCCCGGGGACCAGCACCAGGGGGCAGTCTGCTGTGCGCGTGATGTGGGGACCCTCTGGGGGCCTCGGGAATAGGGCCTGCCATGTTTGCTGGGGGCCTGGAGTAGGCGCTGAAGGCCAGGGGTCCTAGGACATCCCCTGAGGCAGGAACAGAGGGGAAGATGACGGGGTGGAGGTGCGGGCACCAGTGAAGGAGTCCGATGGATCCATCACTGGGGGGACGGGGGCAGAGCTGCTGGTGGCAGGCAGTGGCACCGAGTCAGGAAGATGGTATGGGGACACCTCCTTCAGGATGGGGAGGGGCGGCTAGCGGGTGGAGGCAGGTTGGGGTCATCTGGGTGGTGCAGTGTTCCATCTGTGGGAGGTGAGGTGAACGGAGGAGGGGGTGGCCTGCTCTGCAGACCAACAGCACCCAAGGGTGACTGGGGGGATAATGGCACCCGGGAGCCGGAGGCCTGCCGGTCTGTGGTGACTGCAGGAAAGGGTCTCTCTCACTGTGGGATGAGGACGGCGCGCTGGGCCTTGAGAGGCAGCCAGCGGCCCCCAAAGGATGCCCGCCCACCTCATTGGCAGGTTTCTGCAGTGGGGTTTGGAGTATCCTAAACACAAAGGAACAGGAAACAACTCTTGGGGGATAAGCCTAGGAAGCAGGGGGTGCCTGGTTTTCAGGAGGGGAAGTGGGCACCCAGTCTGCCCACCACCCCACCCCACCTTTCACGGAGGTCTGCCTGAGGAGCCTCTAGAGAGGGCAGTGGGCCGGTAGTGGGCGGCACCCAGCTGGGCAGAGGGGTGGCCTGAGGTGGGACTGAGCCACCAAGGGAGGGGATTGGGCTGGACTCTGGGGGTCAGGAGAGGGGCTTTAAGTAGCCTGGCTCCCATTTAAGCCATGGTGTATGTGGAGCCCGGATGGAAGAGGGAAGAGGGGCCCCGGCTGAGGTGTGGGGCACAGGGGCAGTGCCGGATGGCTGACGCCAGTGGCACGGATGTGAACCATGCTGCCGCTGCCGCCGCCACCTAAAACACAAGCTCAAGGACTCAGGGCAGACAGTGGCCGGAGGTTGACCCTGGCCTCCGGCTTGGGCGCCGAGGCAGAGTGCCTATCCCTGGGAAGGGGGAGCAGGCAGATCTGGGGTGAAATCTGAAATGGATGCATGACTTGTGAGTCGCCAGGTGCGTTTGGGGAGCGGGGTCCTGCACCAGCCCCTCCCGCAGCAGAGCCTGCCCTTCCTTGGAGAGTCCACTCCATGTGGCCCGTGGGGGGCACTCCTCAGCTCCCTCTGCCCCAGGCGGCATGGCTGCCATGCACAGAAAGCAGCACTGAGGCGGGAGAACGACAAGAAAGAGGCACCGTGGGGCCTGCAGCCAGAAGGCCGGCTCCCTGCGAGGGCTGAGGGCCACGTCCTTCTTTGGTGAACCGGTGCTGGTTGGCTGCTTCTCTCTGCAACGGGTTCCCCACCTTCCTCGGGCCAGGACCCTTTCTCACAGTTCCTCACGTGGTGCTGATCCCCCAACCATAAAATGATTTTCATTGCTACTTCATCACCGTCATTTTGCTACTGTGTGAAAGGGTTGTTCAACTCCCAAAGGGGTCACGACCCACAGGTTGAGAACTGCTGGTCTAGAACATAGGGTGCCCAAACTTATTTGGCCTACACCCACCCCCCTTTCAGGGGGGAAAAACCTACTAACAAATTAGCACCCCCAAGGCAATGAAACACTTTTGCACTCTCACCCATAATCCAAGATAAAGTGTAGGTGTCTGCTTTTGCAGCCCCTCAGGGTGGCTCTAGAGGTCCCTCTGGGGGTGGGGGGCAGTATTTCCCACTTTGAGGTGCACTGGTCTAGACCCCCCCAGAGAGCTTCCTTCTCTTTAACCCCCACCAAGCGAATGAGACGAACGGTGTGGAAGAAGTCGCACGCCTGCTCACGGGACCAGAGGATGTCTGATAGCCTCCAGGGACCAGGTGATGACAGATGTCAAGTCCATGTGGGTCAGAAGATGTAGTACTTACTTCATCTGGGGTCAATTTGAAAGGATTATAAGTGGATGGGGTAGAGTCTGGCCTGCCTGTCAATCAAGATATAACCAATGAGGCCTCTGTGTGGGCATGGCCTTCTCCTGAGAATTCTGGGAACTCCTCTCCTGTATTTCCTCCTTGGAGGTGGGTGATATCCTCTCTCTCTGCTTACTCCCTGAGAACACTCTACTGACAAGACACATGGCTCTATGCCCTGGGAGCCGGAGAAGCCACATGGACCTACCCTGATGCAACCAGACCTCTGGAGCTGGAGAAGCCACACAGAGACCCCTGCCAGCCCTGAGATGATTGCAATGCCACTGGATCCCCAAGACTTCCCACCCACTGTCCTGGGATCATGCTGCATTCGGGGTCATTACATATATTTCGTGAGTCTGAAGAGGACTTTATAGATTGGTATCGGACATGTGGGCTGATATTGGACTTATGGACTCGATCTGGACTGGGCTGGGATATTTTCTCAATATTCAATTGCTCTTGTATATAAACCTCTTTCTTATATACATATGTGTGTCTATAAATTTGTTTCTCTAGTCGACCCAGACTAACTCAGAGGACCAAGGCTTTCCTGGGTGGCCACTCCTGGTCTGATGAATTGATGAGCACCCTCCAAATACGTGTGGCAATCCTGCCCTTTCCCCCCCACTCCACCCCACCCCACGGTGTCTGTGGGCGCGGCCCTATTTGGGATGAGAGTTTTCTTCTGTTACGTGAATACAGCCCCACTCGTAAAGGGTGGAGCCTAAACTTAATCCCTCTGAGTCCTCGAATGAGCCGAAGAGTGCACAGATGTCAGGGGAGGATCATCTGCCCGTCAAGAAAGGCTTGCAAAGGAATCCATGTGACCGAGACCTGATTTGGACCATTAGCTGCCAGAAGGGTGAAGGGACCCTTCATTTTCTATCCCTCAGAGTGGCCCGCTGTGGTGTTGATGCTGTAGCCACCATTGGGGACAGTGACTCCTGGTTTCCACCGATGTCCTCTTCCCTCTGTCTGACCTGGTTGACTTCAGCGAGGTGGTCCCTCCCCAGAGAGCGTGCGGCCATGCCACGTGTGGTTCTCCATGTGGTTCTCTTCCGAGCACAGATGAGGCTTCTGAGCCTCAGGGGTCTCACCAGTGGAGCAGGGACAATGGAAGTACCTCTCTGCCCCAAGGTTCTTACAAGGCTTCTCAGACGCCCTGCCTTCGAGCCGGCGGTGCTGTGGTGACCCTGGGAAGGAACCTCTTAGGCAGTCCAGGCAGGTCCTCGGGAGAGAGGACCACGCTCCACACCGGCCCTGGTCACCCAGACTGAAGGAGGAGGCCGCTGTCCAGGCGGGGCTGGGGCACACACTCATGCACACACCGGAAATGCTTGCTTTTACATGCATTTCTCAGTCCTTCCCTTAACCAACCTCCTTCCTGTCCCCCACCCCACCCCCACCGAATGGTGTGTCGTAGGTCCAGGACTGAAGGGGCTGCCCATGAATGAGCCCAGCGTCCTCGGTGCTCCCTGGCTTTAGGTCCCCTTCGGATGGTCACCTTGGTAAAAGGTGCTTGTCTCCAGGTGATCGGGACAGAGAGCTGACGTCCTCATTGGCCAGGAGGCGCTCACGAAAGAAGCAGTGGACGTCAGCTCCTGCTGAGCCCGTGTGGACACCAGCCAGCGGCGCTTGGGAGACGGGAATGGCGGCGTCAGCAGCACGGTTCCCAGTCATTGCCCAGGACACGAAGAGCTGATGGAGAGGGGACGCTCGCTCAAGAATGTCCTTTGGGGGGACAGGCTCCACCTTGTAGAACCGCCGTAATGGGGAAATTAAGATCCCTCCAAGAGAGCTCGTTCTCCTGACTGGAATTTATAAGCGCTTCTGTGCGCATCCTCCCCTGTGCCCCAACACACACACACACCCCACCACCACCACCACCACCACCACCACCACCCGGCCCCCGAGAGTCTCTTCCGAGCACAGATGACAGATGGTCACCCTATATTCTCCAAGTGCCCCACCGAGGGGAGGGCCCAGTGAGAGGGTCCCTCCGGCAGACTGCATTAACACAAGTAGACATCTCCCTGGGCTGCCCCCCGTTCCTTCCCGCTGCCCACCTGCCTCTGCCCCTGAAGCCGATCCTGCTCTCCTCTCTCCCCACTAGGCACCACCCGGCTCCCCCCTGAGCTAGATGGCTTCTGCTTTCATGTTGGTACCCTCTTCTAGGACCCCCGAGAGCCCACCCCCTCCTGCACTCCCTTGTCTGGCTGCTCAAGCCACGGTCGGACCTCTCCCTGCCCTCTCCACGGTCCCCATTCAGTCCTGGCCCCAGGCAGGGTTGACTTCTGCTGCTTCATCTGCACCAACCTCAAAGCTGGCACCCCCTCCCCAACCTCACTGACCCCCGCCTCCCAGCAGCAGGGCTCAGGACAGGCAGGGGGCTGGGCATTGGCAGGGCGCAGGGCAGGGCTGCAGCCCAGTAGGAGGATGTAGTGGTGTCCGGGAGGGCACCTCGGGGCAGAGGGGTATCGGAAGGACCCGAAGCCTGGACAGGAGAGTCCAGGGTCCTGCGTGTGTAGGGTGCGCTGGGATGGTCCTGCACCTTCCTCACACTCAAACCCACTCCCCTCATGTCGACGCCCACTCCTGGTGACCCCATAGGACAGGGGAGAACCGCGCTGGTGGATTTCGGGGACAGTGACTCTTCAAGGGAGTAGACAGCCTCCTCTTTCTCCCACCGAGAAGCTGGTGGTTTCAAACTGTTGACTTGGTGGTCGGTAGCCCGATTCATACCCCACAATCAGCCTCGAGATGTATCAACTCAGGGTGCTGAGCACCTGCCAGGCACCACCTTGACCTCAGTGATTGTGGCTGTGCCTGGTGCTCTCCTGGATGACTCTTAAGTCGTGGGGTGATGATTCTTAAAGCCCACCCCCCTGACTTTCCCTGACGCCCCTCCTTCCTCAGGCAGGGAGCACATGCCCCCATGTTCCCACGCCCACCAGCGGGTGAAGCAAGGCTGTGCTGTCTTCTCTGATGTCCTGCTTGGGCCCGCTCCGCCCCACTACCACCCGGTCCTGTTCCTGCACAGCGACCAGGTAGAGTGACCCTCTGAGTGGGGGGTGGGGGTGGGGGGTCCCTCATCCTTTTGACCCTGGGCAGTTGTTCCCTAAGCAGGGCCTCTCATCCATTTGGCCCTGGGGTGGAGAGCAGGCTCACAGGGTGGGAAAGCCCTTCTCCACTGAGCCCTAGAAGTTTCACAAGGGAGACCTCTCATCGGATCAGCCCTGGGGGGCTGGGGGGGCGTTTCCCCTGGGTAGGACCCCCTCACCACTTATCCCTGGCTGGCTCACAAGGTCACCTCTACCACCCTGGGGGCTCATAGGGCAGGGGACCCTCAGTGCTCGGCCTCCAAAGTATGTGTCCCCCTCCCCATTCCCAATACTGAGGCCACACCTCTGGGGGTGCTGGAAAAGAAGGGGTCCCCTTAGAAGGCACCTTTCCTGCAGAAGGTGGGCTGCAGGTCCAGAGCCAGCCTAGAGACTGGGTGCCCACCAGGCACAACGCAGGAGCCAGCAGGAAGCAGGTACAAGGGGGGAGGGGGGGCAACCTCCTGCCAGCCCTGCCTTGTCTCTAAGCCAAGAGACTTTGAGGACAGAGGTCGCCTGCTGGCTGAGCCCCTCCGCCTACCCAGGCCCATGGCAGAGGGGGGATATCGGGTGATGGGGGCGCAGGGCTCTCAAGACTGGACCTAGGGTCACGTAGCGGTAGGAGAGAGCGTGATCCACAGCGGCCTCATGTCACAAATTACACCTCACAACACCTCGGAGGCCGATTTCCCCAAATAGACCCTGAGGGCTTCTTGGGGGTAGGGGTGCCAGGAAACCCTAGTGAGCTACCCTGCCCACCCTGCACCAGGCCAGGGCACTCCTGTTACCACAGAGGCCCCGGTACCACCAGGATAGCCTCAGGCAAGAGCTGGGGCCTTGGCCCAGAGCAGCCACCGTGAAGCCAAGCAGTCACTGGTCAGCAAGGACCCAGTGCTGGGTGGGCCAGGCTGAGCTCTGGCGGTGGGCTCGGTTTGCAGGCCTGGGCAAACCGAGTGGCCAGAGCATGCCACCACCCGATCCTGCGGCCAGGCATGGTGCCATGGTGGGGCCCCGGGGTGCTATCCAAAGGCCACTGTGGCCTGCAGCTCCTGCACCCACCTCCACCTGACTAAGACTCTGTCTCCATGAGTCCCCTTCACGAGCGCCCCCAGCAGGCTGGCCCCGGGTCTGAGGGAGCAGGATGTGCAGAGGCCTGCTGGGGCGACCTGCTGGGAGATGTGTGCTCATCTGGTTTGCCCCTCAGCCCCCCACTGAGATCTTGGGGTGCACTGCAGGGTGGGCAGCCCTGGCACTGAGCCTTGGTGCCGCCAGGACCAGAGGGAGGTGACTCATGGGGGCCTTCTTGCCCCCACCCATGTGAACCGCCCGTGTGCCTGGGTGACCAGCGTGGGTCCCAGCACAGCCTGGGTGGGGGTGGACTGACCATCTCCACCACGGCGCAACATCTGGAAGGATGCCTATTTCTTGTCGCTGGGGGACCCAGCTCGGGAGCAGACAGCACGTGGCCGCCACGTGCCTCTCGCCGCATCAGGCCACCATCCCCAGCTCCATTTTACAGACAGGAAGCCGAGGCCCCAGGGCGGCCCACCCTCTGGACTTGCTCGGTGAACCTCCTCCCCTGTATGCCCGCATGGCTGCAGGCGCAGGGCCGGCACCGAGGCTCCCAGGAAAAGAGACAGAAACAAGCATGTCCCCCCCCCTCCCCCAGCTCGGGCTGCGCCACCTTCAAAATGGGGAGGCCGAGGGACTGCACTCCCCTGAGGCCCACTTCCCAGCCCCCCGGGGAAGCAGCCATGTTAAGGATACACGGAGCCCCTGCTAGCGTGCTTCCCCGCGGCCATGTCCCAGACACATAAGCAGGGCCCGGTGGGGCCAGGTGGCCCCTGGACAGTCTGTCTGAGCAGTGAGGCTCTCAGCGCCCGTTGAGCAGTGAGGCTCTCAGCGCCCGTACCTCCTGCTGACCCCGTGGATCCCTCAGAGCATCTTCTGTCTGTCCATCTATGTGTGCTTGGGGGGTGGGTGGGTGTTGTGTTCTATAAATGCCTCCAGTCTCCTGCACTTGGCTGCTTCCTCAGGGAGGCCCCTCCCAGACTCTGCTTGGAATCCTCTGTCCTGGGACAGCCCGGCCTGCCGCCACTGCCCTGTGTTGGAGCGTGGGACCCACTCCCT